ATTGGGTTATTTAACAGATTTTAGAAAGTCCAAGGGTTTATTTGTTCCAAAAAATTGTCCAAGGGTTTAATCGTTCCAAACAATAAAGTCCATTGGGTTTTTTTGAACTTTTCCCAACAAAAAAATACATTGTAATACACATGAAACATTGTGAACGTTATCACTATGATATACTTTGATTCATAAACATATTTATAATACAATGTATATTAGGTAACAAATTTTAATTAAATATTTCATTCTAAAAAATTTAATTAAATATTTTGATTAGTTGTCAAGATAGAATTACTATATTACCATTTTAGCTTATTTAAGAAATATTCTTAAATATCTCAAACGAGTTATTCACATTGGATTCCACGGTTACTACAAACTAATCAGTTTTCCCTTGAATGAGCTCCTATATATATATATATATTGAGAGAGAGGGGGAGAGATTTGAGATCATGTGAGAGAAGGTTGTTTTCATGAGACACGTAAGACAACATTTTTATACTTGAAACTTCACAACAAAACACTATGAAAGTAACCTTCATGGAGTTTTTGCTGTGAAGATTCGGCTTTTATTTAACTTCACGAAAACATTTTATATATATATATATATATATATATAGGGKTGGGTTCACGTGAGACCAAGGGTTTTTCGTGAGACCCGTAAGATCAATTTATGTTCATTGATCAACTTTATAAGCTAATGATCTAATGATCTAAAATTGCAAGATGGCAATTTTGTAATTATTGAGAAGTCTCGTGGCGTTTATGAATGTTCAGATTTGACGATTGTAAATCTAATCCAAGAGTTGAGAATTGATTTTACGGGTCTCACGAAAAACTATTGATCTCACATTATCCCAAGTCTATATATATATATATATATATATATATATATATATATAATATAAAGTTTGTTAGTTTATTGGGCATAAAAAACCACTAAAAGACTATATTAGTTGATAAATTTATAGTTGTAGAAAAGTCATTTTATTACAATAGTTTTGGCCTTTGGGTATCCTAATTCATCAAATTGCACTAACCATATTCTATGAAAACACCACTTTTTGGAAAGCCATTGTTTCTATCAAATTCCAATATTAAAATATTATTTCACTTCATAAAATTATACTGGATTACACGTAACATCTATTATTTATAGCTGATATTGAACTGAATATTTACAACATATTTATTTATATATAAGTTTTTTACATCCACGAATGCATGCTCTTCATACGTAGAATTATCATCGACATCATATCATTTTTATATATTCATTATTTGATTAAAAAAAACTTTATTATTTATTAAATTAATTAATTGATTAAAAAAAACATGTATTTTATTTTATGTTCTTTATAGAGTTGATTTGATGTCACTACTTATAGATTTTTTTAGAATTGTTTCCAAAATAATTATTTTATAATTTAATAAATTAAAAAGTTAAATATTAAATTAATTAAAGCAATTAGAATAGTTTTATGCACCCATTTGGCAACCTCTTAAGCATAACTAATTAAGTTCTTAATGAAAGCATTTTTCACACTTCCAAGCATAACTTAAAA